TATTTCTCGACTCATTATTGAGAGAATTCTGAAAAAACATAAGTTTCATCCCTAAAAAATCAAGTTAGGTAAAGTAAGGCCAAAGTCGAAGACGATATCGATCGCCATACACATTTCTGTGATTGGGGTGGATGTTGCTTTGCCGTTGGGTGTTATTTTTCCTTGAATTAACCCATTTCATATACAGCGTGACTCACGGTGGATGGTAGGTTAGACGTTTATGGTAAATACAACGCAGGATTTTTTAAAATTTCACGGTTCTATCGATCTAAAACATTTTCATCATTGCGGCGTTGACACTCCTATCAAAAAGTCCTATCAACTTTATTTTATTTGATAAATTTTCTCCGAAATAAATTTAGAAATCAATAAAATTACCTATTGAAAAAGTATTTCGTCACGATACCGCGTAGAAATCGCTATTTCAAAAATCAACTGTTATTACATCCATTTCACTTGCCGCAAACAAAGGCATTCTTCACATAACACTCATTTGAGAAATATGTTGTTAACAGAAATCAATGAATACGTTGTTAGATATTTACATTAACGAATCATTTTGGAGGTGTCTGCGTTTGAGAAAGGAAGGCGATTCATAGTTTCAATTGGTAGGTAATGTGTTTTCAGAAATGAAGAAAATGTCGAGCTCCTGAATGTCGAAGCGTAGTCAGACCTCAAAATATTCAATAAGCGATACGCTTGATGATTTTTTTTGAAGGAATGCCTCTCGTATTTATCAACTGAAAAAGTCTAGTGATCTACAATTTTATTATGTTGGAAGTAACAAATGAATGACAGATAAAGGCAGAGTATATAAATAGTATAGTCATAAAGCTAAGTTGAAAATAACGTTATTGTCTCGAGAAGTCAGAGGACACTGGTCTCGGAAGAGATTAGAATGGCTAACTTTATTTTGATGCATGAAGCACCTGTCTGGAAAAACATCATGTCGATCACGAGGTGTGAAGGAACAATGATAAAGAGACAAAAGATAATCCTACATATTCCACAGGATGAAATAACGGCTACAGAGGTATTATCTATTATTCTACATGGTCTTGTGCGGTCATGTATCTTTTCGAGTATATCAGAAAAATACTAGTAGTATTGATGTCTATACCGTGATGGAGAGAAATATTTATTGATCTCTTTAGATGCAGATAAGATAAGTCACATATACACACATACATTATTACTCAAGAATGAATATTATACTGTTTCGCCTTTTATTTGTGTTTCTCTGAATAAGACAGCTATATATTCGTCAGTAGAATAAAGACAATTCGAAATCAATAGATATTTCAGACACTTTCTGAACAAGTATTGACTCAACTTTTTGACATGGGGAGGTGGAATATTGTATAAGTTGACATCGATAGAGTTTCTACTTGACTTTTTCAGTCTGAATCTACTGGCCGTCAACAAATCACATCCTCTAGTCTCATGATCGTGGAAATCACAATTTCTGTTTGATGTTGATTAATTTTTATGAATATCTATCAAAAGTTGATGAAGATGAATAGAAGGTACTGTCATTATTTTCATCGAAAGGAAATGAGGTCTACAGGAGTCTAAGAAACCAGCCGCAGATAATATCATCACGACCTTTTTTTGTAACATAAATATCCTATTTGCGTTAGTACTATTTCCCCAGAGAATTGTTCCATATAACATGTGAGAATAGAAAAAAGCGTAGTAAGCTGATAATAGCGCCTGTTGAGAGATTATATTTTTCAATTTCCGAAGAAGAAATGAGTATTTCGACAGTTTAATGCTAAGTTGTTCAATGTGCTCTAACCAGTTCAAATTATCATCTAGATGTATGCCTAAGAGTTTAACACTGTGTCCTTCAACCCAAGAAAAGTTTGATGTAAAAATGAAGTGTTTTATTTTCGTTTGACATTAGATTATTCCTTTTGAACCATATGTCAGCATTCTTTTAAATTTGATTTATATCGGGCACCAAATTACCCTTGATTTTTCCGGATGTCGTAAGAGTAGTATCATCGACGAAAGCGAAACAATTATGAGGTGAAATGAAGAAAAAAAGATCATTTATATAGATTATGAATAAAAGAGGCCCCAGAACCGAGCCTTGAGGAACTCCACATGTAACTGGTTTCGAGTCGGATACATTGTTCGAATCAATTGATACATATTGGTATCTGTTCGACAGATATGACAAAAAAAAGAGACAGGGGGGTTCCTTTCATGCCATAGTCCTCTAATTTTTTCAGTAGACTAGAATGATGCAGTTGATACGACGGAACGTTCCATTCCTGAACTACACACAGTCACAGTGAAATATCGCGCGAGGTCTGACACCACACACAGCTCAGCTGATTGGGAAATTCTCCAAAATTATTTTGAGTTTTCTCTCTGATAAAATATTTCTCGGCTGATCTTTCAAAATTTGCTCCTGAAGCCACTGAGGTCATTCTATTAGACCTTGATCTGTCTGTTCAAATCTTGAGAGAAGCCAATGGGAGCTGTTGAACCAAAGATTCAGAGATAACGTGTTTGTCAGTGACAAGATTCCAAAATTCTTTTGCGTACGGCTCAAAATCTGATATATGAAAAAATCATTGATTGATGAATTTCACCTTTGTTTTGTGGATCTGTTTAATGTGAAATATGTTTTGAAAAATTCCAAATAATTTCCAATGGTAAACATTAACAGACTTCCATATGCCAATTAGATTTGTGATGCTGCAAACCAGAAAAATGAAGTGTTTCGAGCTATCACTCCAACATTTTTGATCATGTATTTCATGAGGGTTTACCCGATGTTCTGATTTGACAGATCGTTGTTTCTCGTAACTTACCAATTTTTTTAAGAATCCTTTTCTCCGTCGATGGTTCTTTTTTGCATATTTCCACCACCAATGCAGTTGTTTTTTTCTAATATTGTCTTCAAGCCTCTTGCTATTAATTCATTTGAATGACCACTAGAAGAGACTGTGAATATAATCCAATGCTTCGCTGACAACAGCATACTTGCCTCTTCATTCCATTAAGTAGATCCGAACATCAGAACAGTTTGATCAATACGACACTACAGTTAATGGTGTCAGGCTGGTTGCGTTAGTTGATTTGTTGGGTACGTACCACATTGGATATGTCTTGGTACAATCACGTTGATAAAATGGCTAAGAAAGCTTCTCGAAAACTAGTGATTTGTACACAGCACTTTCAATGCTCTAAATAAAGTTAAAATTGTTTCTTCTTTGGGATATTGTATGTTTAAAAGTATATGCTGAAGTTGTTGTTTCTCATCTACAGATGAGCCTAATACTGGATCCATACACCATAAACTACCTTGGAACATCAAAGGAAGGTGGGAAACTACTGCAATGTATTCATGTATAGTTTGGAAAAAAGTATCGAATTGACAGTTCGCTCGATTCCATCGAATGTATATCCATGGTATATGTCAGAAGTGCCACTTTCCAAGAATATCAATATGTGAAGAATGGTGTCCTTGCTATTAAACATTTCTATACTGGGTCCTCCAAATGGATATAATTTACGGTGATTCAAGTTCGAAGGAAAATACCACTTTCGCATTGTTACGCATATATTCAGCATTATTTTACGATAATATTGATGTCATAGCTGTATTTTGAGGTTACAACTTAACGTGTTAGGAATCACACGTTGAAAGGTAAGACCTTGATAATCCTTCGCTCGCACAAGTTTCGACTTCTGAGGGTCGTCGTTCATAGGGGTGTGATAGCTGGTTAACGGAAAAACAGATTTTTTAAACAGAAATGACAAAATGTTCTGGAAGAGCCACCTGTGGAGGCTTTGAAAGAGCCGGCTCTTTCATGACACGAAAACTGGCTCTTTCAATATATTACAAACTTTCAGTTTTGAATTGCCGTCTTTTTCATATTGTATTTATTTCTGGCTCAAGAAACATGTCCACGCCAGCATCTGATGGCGTGGACAGACAACGATTTACAACTGCCACAATAGAAGAGGTTGTAAGGGAGGTCTTGCCGAAAACCAATCTATAAATAAAACGACATTAATCTCTGGCATATTCAGGTCTTATTTGGCGAAATTTGTTAAAAAGGCTCGGAATTCTGACGGTATGTGCATCGCTTTAATATAGGTTTCAAAAGCATGTTTTTTGAACATCAAGAAGACTTATTCGTTTCATATTTAAAAACTGCGTCTAAACAAACAAACAAGAGATTTTGAACTCCAGTATGTTGCGACAAATGCTATCTGTCCAGCAAAATTGAATGTTGAAAAAATTGCATCCGTGAAATGACTTCGAGTATACATGATGAGGCACAAAGACTTGAGCATCAGAAATCCTGAGAGCACTTTTTTGTCCAGAGCCACCAGCTCCAATAATACAAACGTTACCACATTTTTTTTAACGACAATCTTTACGAAAAGCATAATTTCCAACCACATATGATTTTTATTCCAGACGAAACAGGATGCAGCAACGTTTCAGCCCCTTCTTAAATTATCGCTGAAAAAGGGTCGAAACAAATTGGACAAGTTTAATGTTGCTTTGAAAGAGCCAATTTCCCTTTTTTTTAAGTTACCATATTACTAATTTTTGTCATTGTATCTCATTTTATTTTAATTGAATAACGATGACTATTAAACTAATTATTTACAAAAAGCAATTTTATTCCATAACCATCACCTGACGTTAACTTTTTTTGATGCTCTTTCATACACACTCTCCCCTATATATCTGGTTTGACAACAAAAGTTTCTCTTTAAAAGTGTCTAGTTTGGCCCATCACTCTGTACAATATTTATACCCTGCACGTAGCAGAAATAACTGCTTCTTTGTAATTACAACATGCATAAAATCATTATCGCTAGAAATTCTCTCGTTCGACAGGTTAGACACAAAAAATATTATGTGTAACAAAATCTGAAGATATATCGTGTGCATTAGAGCATCTCGCCGGTCTGCATGAGTATCGTGGGTACCATCGCAGATTCACCCGGTGAAAGTATTCCAGCGGTGAGTGGTTACTTTGGTCTTGATTTGGGGAGGATCCCACCAAACTACTATATAAACCCACCTCTCTCAAGGGGTAGACAACATTGTTCGCTGCACCTCATCCAAACATAGACATGAAACCGTTTTTGGTAAGTCTATCTCCACGAAATTTCCATAAAATCCACGTGATATATTATTTATGTGTTTGAGTTCGGGAATGTGTATTAGAAATTTCGTTTGATATCTAAATAGTTTTGTGTGAAGTGAGAGTTGAAAAAATTTGAAAATTTTGTGAATTGATTTCTAATATTGAAAACTGAAACTTTTCAAATTGAAAAGGAGAAATAATTATGCTAATTGAACTAGTGGATAGAGTCGCTGTTCAACTGATTCTTGCTACTTATCTTAAGAAGTAACAAAAAACATTCTCATGACCAGTGCATATGCATCAACAAACAAATACTCAGAAAATCTAATGGAAATACCTAACTCACAGTTTAGCGATCAATATATCGTTTAGCATAAAATTTCAAGGTAGTCAAATAATAAATTCGTAAATGATATGCTGGTTTCATCGAGATCCTCTACGTCTTCAATTTTTTTTGATGAATTATTTCTATTATATCAATAACTGAACTATTTATATGGATTAACAGAAATGAATTGAAATTTGGTATCAGTTTGAATATCGTCACAAAGTATTCAACTATCGCCATATGTTAACAATAACCCTTGATATTTCAATGTTCCCATCATCTTCACCTGCATTGTGATTGAAAAATATCATCATGACGTGAAGAAATTTGAATTCTATAGTTCGTCATTTTGAAAAAGTGTATATTGCAATAGGATTTTTTCAAAATTGAAAAGTATGATACAATGTAACTTCAATTTTCTTTATTCTGATCTATATTTCCATACAAAATAATTAAAATCAAAATATTTATCATAAAAATGAAGTTTTCAAATCTAGAAAACTTTTCAGAAACATTTTCTCAAAAAATATTTCTCTAAACTCAAGTTGGAATTGTAAATAACCACCATCATTCATTATTTATTGATTACAAACAAAAATAGTTGAACTTGAAAGAATACATCAGGGCATTTATCAGGGTGTACTTATACATTCATTAATGAAAACCCAAAACTGAAAATCTGCGCGCTTGTGTTCCAAATCTTCATTATATATTATCGTAGATTGCATCCCTGGTATTAGCAGTCGCCAGCATAGGATCATGCGGCGAGGCTAAAGCAAAAACTTCGAAGAACGAAAAAAGAGGAATTTTTTCAAGCGACATTGGTAGCGGATACGGGGGTGGCCATGGAGGTGGTATATCCCTAGAGTCATATGGAGGTGGCTACGATGGAGGTGACTTAGGTGGTGGCCACGGTGGTCTTGGAGGTGGATTGGGTGGTGGATTCGGAGGTGGTGAGTTAAATTTGAATATGCAAAATATTTCAAAATTTCAACTATTTGTTCAGTTTCTCATCTATACTCGAAAAATAATTAATAGATTACTTTGTCCAGAACTTCAAAAAATGTCACTACTGAATTCATATTCATATTTGGACTCCTTTTGTCAAGTAAGATTCCTCTCACTCAACTGAACACAAATCTCGTCACTCATCGTGTTCTGAAAAAAACACCGAATTAATTGAAACCAACGACTATAGATTCTTAAACTCACCTCATAAGTGACGGTTTTTTCATTGTTCAATGTTCTTGAGCGATATAATTTCTCATTGCAACTGAGAATATCAGGAAATTTATCAATTACTCTCTATGTGCATTTGTGTTTGATAATTTCAAATTGATATTAATTTCTGAATTTGTAACGGAGTTGAGTTAGCTATAAATGTATAGTATGACTTTTGTCTGATGTTTACAGAAACTATCGATTTACAGTTATCCACATATCTTCCTGTACATATTTCACCACCTATATATTTGCTGTCAACCCTATATCAAAATCAACGACAGTTTTTTTCTTACTGACTCTGTTAATTTAAGTTATCGACATTGTTCTCTCAATCGCTGCATTACATCTGTAAATTCCTCTGAAAGATGATATGATCGTCTTTTTCTCCCATATATTGGAATCATTTTCCGCATCTGAGTTTGGACTTCAAATAACTGAATGATAACACATCACTCTAGAACAAATTTCTATATTATATACACGTTCATACCTCAGATCACTCAGTACGTCAAGTTTAGTTCAGAATTGTTGACAAAACATGGAGATTGGATAGAAACAAAATATTGCTTTCGAAAATGTATTAAGAGAGTTGATTGAAACATGTTCTTCATTATAGGTGGGCATGGAGGTGGAATTGGAGGAGGCCTAGGAGGTGGATTCGGAGGTGGATACGGAGGTGGATTCGGAGGTGGAAGTGGAGGTGGACTCGGAGGAGGTTTAGGAGGAGGTCTGGGTGGTGGACTTGGAGGAGGTCTTGGAGGTGGTGGAGGTGGTGGTGGAGCAACTGTTACCACCATCAGTCGAACTGTACCAGTCCCCGTACCCCAGCCTTACCCTGTCACTGTCAACAGACCAGTAGCAGTACCAGTACCTCAACCTGTTGCAGTTCCAGTACCAAGACCAGTACAAGTATGTACTTGTTTATTATCCTTTGAATGATAGAATGCCCCCACTTTGACTATTCTCCGCTTGGTCAATTTCAATTCATCAGTTTACAGAAATTGTTTGATAATTATTGTTTATCTTCATCTCATTTTCAGGTACCTGTTCCAGTAGCCCAACCAGTTGAAGTACCAAGGCCCTACCCAGTAGTTGTCAACAGACCAGTTCCAGTAGCAGTACCTACTCCAGTACGAGTCCCAGTACCCCAACCCGTTGGAGTTCCTGTACCACAACCCTACCCAGTTACTGTTCCACAGCCCTACCCTGTTAGAGTTCCCCAAACTGTTGTTGTCCCTGTAGCACAGCCAGTCTTTGTTGGTGGAGGCGGTGGAGGTGGCATTGGAGGTGGACTTGGAGGAGGACTTGGAGGTGGACTTGGAGGTGGTCTGGGAGGTGGTCTTGGAGGTGGTCTTGGAGGTGGTTATGGAGGTGGTTACGGAGGTGGTTATGGAGGTGGTTATGGAGGTGGATATGGAGGTGGATATGGAGGTGGAATAAGTGGAGGACTTGGAGGCCATGGCGGTGGTTTGGGAGGAGGATCAATTTCTCTCGGAGGTCATGGAGGTTCTTTAGGGGGATATGGTGGTGGAAGCTCCTATTCTAGCTCGATCTCACTTGGCAAGTCATCAGGAGGATATGGTGGAAGCTCTTATTCTTCCGGTGGACACGGGGGGGCAACCAGCTACTCTAGTGTCTCATTGGGAGGCGGCCACTCCAAATACTAGGAAATGGAAGACTTAATCATGCCCATCAGCATCATTTCACACTTGTATAAAATTATTCATTCGACGTATCCGTTACCAATGTGATAACAGTATTTTTATTTTTGTTTGTGACTACGTTCATGCGTTTCGTGTACATATTTGCACTCACTATGAATTAAAAATATATTTTATTATTCGATGTTTTTCACCTCACTCTTAGAATCCTTTTCTCTGAAATGAATCGTCATAGAATAAGTTCACTTATAGACTGGCAATATCAGACATGGGAGATATTCAATATTTGTATGCATGGCATTATTGAAGATATTTCTACAAAAAACTATGGAGTTTTGAAGAATTCCAATTGAAGTTGAAGATTTCTTATTCAAACATGTATTTCTTCATATTCATATTAATTGATTCACGAGTATATACTTCGTGTGTATGGTTGTTATCAATATAATGAGATATTATAGTTTGGTGAGCAAATCGCAATATTGACCCAAAAATAGTTTCGTGAGAAATATTTCAGTATGTTCGAATATCTCACTTTGTATGATTGGTCCTCTTCTAGAAAAAAATATGTTGGTTTTCTGCTAGGAAAACCAATGTTGATTTTGACATAGAATATGGTGATCAGGAGTCTGATACGTTATTGGGACCTATATAACAGATATTCAAAATAAATAACGCAAAGAACACTTCACATCTGGAACTATAAAATAATCGGCTACTAGGTCGGTCTTAATGAATTACATCATCCAGGTATAGAAAATGTGTCTTATGTTCCTATCAAAGATGCTCGGAGAATGTATGGAGTTTTCTGAATCAGATATATTCCTGAAACTGATAGATATTCTGATCTTTTTCAGTAGTTATCATCCTGTACGAACTAACCTTGCGTAGTAGCTCTATGGATACTACGTCAATATTTGTTTTTGGGTGATACTTTGCTTGAAAAATGATGAACGAATAAATAATTTCAGTAAATTGAAACCTCTCAAACTAACTATTTCAACAGAATAAACTATGTAGATATAGCGTCTAATCGACTATTGACTATCCACTAAATTAAATTTCATTTTGATGTCCTCTTGCAAAGATTAACAATATCTCCAGAAATATTTGAAAATATCAGACAAAGTATCGAGACTAACTTATTCTCATGGCAGTTGATGGGGAACAGTGGCAACATCCACTGTGAAATAATGAACTTTGAAATAATTTGAATTATGCCCCATTTCCAATCATTTTAGTTCATACAATGCACACTTCTTCAAAATCGGTTATCATTTTCTGACTTGTTCACATTATATTCCGACTTAGGTATCATAATTTGAAATATAAAAAAGTTTGTTTTCCTGTAAGAGTGCGCAAAACTGACAACTTACGTAGTGGACAGTCACATGGACGAATTTCTCATAAAATCACCTCTTCAATGATGTATCACACTTAAGTGTTTTCTCTATTCAAAATCTAGAGGAAATGGTCACAACGAAGCGGGGAAAATGTGAAATAGAAGTGGTTATTCAAAATTAGCATTTTTTCCAATCACCATAAATGAAATATTCTTCTCATGGAGACAACTGTTGTTATGAATCGACCTATTTTTTGATTTCATCCACAACAAAGAAGATATTCGGTCTGTTCGTTTTATTCAACTCCAACACTACTTTGTAGTGGATGCCTTTTAGCTCAGGAATGAAAGTGATGGAGTCAAAAATATGAATCAAAGATATTCCTTTCAATTAATTATTGTGAAGTACGTAGTACTAGTTTTCGGGATGGAAATAAAACCTTCAATAAACCCTAAACAATTCAAATTCTATTTACAAACTCAATAAAATGAATTAATGAAGATAGAGTGATATTGGATAATCAAAATACACACATCGGAAAAGTCTAGGGATATTTTTATAATATACTAAATATCATAAAAATAAATGCATGAGGTCGTTTAATTTCGATTAAATTGGTACACTCGACCACCCTGTAGGTTTCTATGGGTTGAACAAAGCCTGCAAAAACGGTAACTAATCTTTTANAAGGGATAAAAAATTGATTGAGATTTATTATAATGAATGAAAGACGAGAAGTTAGATTGGAAAATTTTTTATTTCAAAAAGGATCAACTGAAATGAAGTATAATATTAATCATTTAAACAAGAATGATATATCATTCTTAAAATCACTACTGACCTGAAGTTCCATCCAGATAATGATTGAAGATTAATGTTTTTCGTAAGGCAGTTTTACAGAAATCAACCGAAGAGATTGAGTTAGTCAATTACATTCTCATATGTTGTTTGATGAGTAGATTTTGAAAAATGACGAATAGAAGAAGGTGTAATTGAATGAGGATATAAAAATAATCGAAAGTAACATAAATAAAACATGCTAGAGCCCTGTTGATGGCTGCTGGAAATATGTCCAAGATATGTGAATATGCTGGAGATTGTTGAAATACTGATTACTCGAAACATAATTAACAGTATTGTCATGTAATATCATGTTCCGTATTTCTTTATATTCCTTGGAAACGGAAAGTATACTATTTTGTGAATGATCTCTTCTCTTGAAACTGATATACTGTGAACAGTACAATCGACGCAAAATTCACAGAATTTTGCGTCGATTGTAAATAACCAATGTGATACAATGTGGAAATACTGTATAGTACTTGTAATGAAGACAATTCGAAAAAAAAAATTAAATCATACCTTTTGTTATTGAGCGGTACAACTAGAATCTCTGGCGATAAATATATCAGAATCAAGAACTGTTCCTGAACAATAAAACTTTTTCCAAAATACGTTTCGCCAACCAAGTTAGTGTCTTCACGAGATAAACTGGACTATTGTTTTATTAGATGATAACAAGAGAGCTCAATGGTAATCTATCATAAATACTAATGTTCTGGAAAATATGGAGTAGGGACACCCAACTCTTTTATGATTTAATTTCTATACATCTGCTTTTTCAGGATCCATATTTGTAGAAAGTTTAATGGCACTGTTGATATATTAAAGAAGAAAGTAATACAAATCAGAAAATTATGAAACAGCAACAAAAATTAATTGGCGTTCCGGGGCGACTTCACTGATTCCAGTGGCGCATTTGCTTTTTCACCTGCAGGAACACCTGGGAAAACCTGCAGCACCACATCATCTGAAGATCATGTAAATGTAGGGTGTCTCCAGAGGCTCCAATAAATTGAAGACATCGCCAGAACACTTAGTGACACTACTATCGTCAAACTTAAACCAATCCGTTTCATCTTTGACCAATGCGTGATAATGACCAGATTCAACGCCAGAACCACAGTGAACAATGACTGCGTGAAGATTATAATAGTGGTCTGCTAGATTGAAGTGTTCATCTATTTCGAACCTTCGTGAGAGTTTGGTGCTTCCATCAGAGGTTAATTTGGTATTGAAGAGCCTTAGGGCAAGTGTCTTACGGCGAAACATCGATGTATACTATTGAGGATGACAGTGTTCCATGCAAGTGCAATTTGTTACCATTCATTTAAAGTAGAACTCATGTGAATGATATCTGATTTTATTCCACAACGAATATTTGAAATACAAATTGAGTAAAGAAAAGTATCTTCTGTATAATTCAGTTTTCATATAGAAGTATTCGTTTCGAAAGATTTTCATTCTTTCGTGTAATATAATGTTTATATGGAAGTTGCTGTTTCAGGATGACTTTCTTTGAGTTTGTGTCTGGAAGTTACTTCTTTGCATGATCTACACATCCATGTATAGAGTTACTCATTTTCAAATTGATTACTTCCTTCCTTTCTTTGGAAGATTCCCTCACCTTTTTTGTATCGAGATGAAGTAGTAGAAAGCCAAAAACTTTCTTTCCCACTAATGAAATTATTACTCAATAGGTTTTTAAATATCTGGAAACTTTGAAATAGAAAGGTTCCAAATAAATACCACTGCTCCCCAACAAGAAGAGTGCTACACTTTTTGATGCACTAATCTATAAGGCTCCAGCTGTTCCCTAAATCTAAACTTCCTATTTATAACTCTCGACTGTGTCGAAGCCTCAAGGACAAGGCCCGAACAGCTTACTCTTTAGGGAACGATAATTATAATAATACTAATAATGATAATGATAATGAGGCACAGTAGTGGGGCCTGAGACGATGATATGCCTACCGATAACAACCCTGGCAATTACAACGCACGCTTTGAGTGGACGCATCAGCTGACAGGTAGCTGACAGGTAATATTATGCAACGCTACGAGAGTAGTGAACCCGCGCGAGGAGGGTACATCGCGAGAATGCATGTTCTGTGGTGGAGTATTCTGGAGTATTCTGCCGCTCTGCCGCTCAAAACATTGGAAATTACGTATCTTATCTTCAGCGGTAGGGCTATAAAGCTCCTTCCAAGCCTGCTAACGAGTTGGTGGAAGTGACATTTCAGTCACCCATTGGCACGGCTGGAGAGCAGACTCGCATCATGCTACCGATTTAGATAATCAGAACACACAAGGCGCTCCACAGAATCAAACCCCTGAAGCCATAAGAACTGGCTGCTGAGGTTCACAGTGTTCTGATATCTTAGTCTACCGCAGTCTATTGATGGTTATAGAGGTTCCTGACACAAGGTGCAGGACCTGACACAAGGCGTCTGAGACCCTAATTTACATGCATTTGCATGTCCAGCATATGCGGTCTCAGCCTATATGTCTATATCCATCGAGATAACGCAGCCCCAAGTGTACTGTATTATCACCTACGGCCCTTTTTCTGTGTTGCACTATGCTCCGAGTGATATTGAATCCGTTTTGAGGAAGGAGAAATTTTTCACACCCTCAGGCTCATACAAGCTAATATGCCTGATGTGGTCCTGCTCGACCACCAGAGCAAGACAATATTTGTCGTAGTTTTCAGTTTCTGACGAGACGAATATCATCAGAGAAGAGGAAGAAAAACAAATAAAATATAGAGATTTTCTCTTTGGAATCTGCAAACTCTATCCAGACCACTATGACAAGATGGTT